TTTTTTTTTTTTTCCCCCCCCCCCCCCCCAAACCCCATCTCTCTCTTTCTCTCTCTCTCTCTCATTTTCTTATTCTCTCTATCTCTCATTTTCTTTCTCTTTCTCTCCCTCCCTCCCTCTCTCCCCCTCTCTCCCCCTCTCTCTCCCTCTCTCATTTTCTCTTTCTCTCATTTTTTCTTTCTTTCTTTCTCTCTCTATTTTTTATTTTTCTCTTTCTCTCTCCTTCCCTCTCTCTCACTCTCTCTCTCTCTCTCTCTCACACACACACACACACACACATGCATACACACACACATACACACACACACAAACAAACAGACAGACAGCTGTACTCACTGGTTCTGGATGAGCTGGATGGTGAGAGCACTCTTTCCTACACCTCCTACACCACCTTCCCTCTCTTTCTCTCTCTCTCTCTCTCTCTCTCTCACTCTCTCTCTCTCTCTCCTCTCTCTCTCTCTCACTCACACACACACATAAACACACACAAACAAACAAACAGCTGTACTCACTGGTTCTGGATGAGCTGGATGGTGAGAGCACTCTTTCCTACACCACCCGCTGGGGAGACATAAAAAAGAACACCTTTAGTCAAGTCTGAAATTTTACAGCGCTTGTAACACAAATAGGTCACATAAAAAATCCCCAACAAATTAGAGGTGTTACCTGAGTGTAACAACATGCAAAGTAAAAAAGAAAGAGAAATGTATAGTTTTAGTAAGAGTTTTACAGTATTTGTAGACAAATTAGATCAGGCAAGAAATTACATGTGTTGCTAAAGGGTAATATTAAAAAAAGAAAAAGAAAAAGAAGGAAAAAAAAAAAGAGAGATTAAAGTAACAGGCGTGTTGAGGGATATAAGGAGTAAACCACACAAGAGCTCCTGCAAACCACCCACGAACCATTTAGGCTATTTTTATCAAATTTTTGTTCATTGACTCAACATCTTTTATGTTCAAATAAAAACATATTTCCTTGTGTACTTTACTGGAAAAAAACATTGATTAAAGCCACAAAATATGTCAGTTTTCAGTTTTCAAAGACTCTCAAGCTTTTGAAAATACCAAACTTTGGTGACCATTTTTTCGCTAATTTTACCAGGCGACCCCACCTCCTTCAACCCCAAACATCTAAGCTTCTATTCAAGATAAATGGGTACTTTTTCATTGACACAAAGGCAAATGAATAAGTTTTCAGATCATACCAATAACTCCACATGCCAAAAAAATTGACGAGCGTCTGATTCCACAGCGTCGTGACACACATATATATATATATATATGACAATAGTGAACAGAAGACATAGCAAAAAAACTACGGATTGGCCAAATTTGATGAAGGAGAAAACACGCTGACAAACAATGGCCATTTAATGCCGGAAACAAGACAGACAGACAGACAGACAAAAGAAACAAAAATAAAGTAAAGAAATAAGGGCTACAAGTGGCGCCC